AGAGAGAGAGGGGAAAAAACATACAAAACAAATCACTAAATGTAGAGAGTGCGCCCATCCTTGCAGCACACGAGAGGAGGGAAGAGGTGTCCAGGTACAAATAAAAGCATCCTACTCCTCTACCTTTTTTTTTATCGTTTCCTCCCGCTTGACCCCTTCATGTTGCTACCGCCGCCCCTCCCCCCCCCGCTTCTTTTTTTCTTTCTTCCTTCTTTATCCTTCTCTCTCGCACCCTCTTTGCCTCCCTCGAAAAGACGCACACGCACACACATGTGCAGGAATAGGTTAAATAAATAATGACGCAACAATGGCTCATCCTGCTAGACAGACAATAGATACAGCCGACTCAGCCGCCCTCCTCGCTTTTGCTCGCCTGCGTATTTTCCACTCCTCTCCCCAGTTGCCTCCCCTCCCCGCGCGCTCTCTCTACTTAGATAGCGTAAGGCGTGAAAGCACGCAGGTGGACACTTTAGCGCACGTTCCACTGGTCATGGGGCGAGGTGCGGATAGTTTGCCAGGAGCAGCGCGAGTCGCTCCCGCACCTCCTTCGTTATGGCTGAGGGGGAGGTGGTAATGGAGTTCTGCAGCACGCTGTGCGCGGGGTCGGTGAAGGGGGCGGCGCCCACGGCAGTGATGATCTCCAGGGACGACTTCCGCGTCTTCTCGACATTGCGCGCCATCGTCTCCTGCACCTGCGACCCAACAACGTGCGGGGCGTCGCTCCAGGCATCCATGTCCGTCACCATGGCAATGACGAGGTACGCCATCTCTGCCTCGCGTGCCAGCTTCGCCTCCGGCGCCGTCGTCATGCCAATCAGGTGGCCGCCCAGCTGCTTGTTCATGAGGGACTCTGCCTTGCTGCTGAACTGCGGCCCCTCCATCGTGACAATGGTGCCGCTTTCGTGCAGCCGCCACCGCTCCGTCCCCTCGGCGAGGCCGGGAAAGGTGCGGTGCAAGACTTCACGGGAGAGGGCGCGAAAGGCCTGCGACGTCGGGTAGGCAAATTCGCAGTGGACGACGAGGCCGTTCTCAAAGAAGGTCGACTTGCGTGCCGTGGTGCGGTCGATGACTTGGTCCACCAGCACGAGATCGCCAGGCTGGTAGGCGCTGTCAAGCGAGCCAACGGCGTTGATGGCGATGAGGTAGCGCACCCCGAGCAGCTTCATTGCGTACACGTTGGCGCGGTAGTTCACTTCCGTCGGGTTCAGCGTGTGCCCCACGCCGTGGCGCGGCAGGAAGGCGCAGGCGACGCCCCCGACCGTCGCCACGCAGACCTCGGCGCTCGGTCGCCCAAAGGGGGTGTCGATGGCGTAGTACTTTGCGTCGGCCAGGGTGTGCAGTTGGTAGACGCCCGATCCGCCCATGACGCCAACGAGCACGGGGCTTCCGTGTGGGTTGCTGCAGTGCGACATGGCGTGGACGACGAGGTGGCTGCTTCTGCTGCAAAATCGTACGGATGCTTTGATTCAATCCCCACCGCGTTAAGTTGTAACGATATATGTCTCGCGCACAGTGGCTGATGGGCCTTCCACTAGACACACACACACACACACACACACACACACGGCGGCAGCGTGGGAGAGAGGGAGAGAGAGACAAGGAGAAACAAATAGGTAGAAAGGGAGGAGGAGATGAATGAAGAGTGCATGCCAGTCAGTCAGTGTCTCGCTCCCTCTCTCTGTTGTGCAGTCCACAGGCACAACGTGTCCGTGCACACGCCCCACACACACACACACAAACCTGTATGCGCCGATGACGTCACTCGCCAGTTCCCCGCCAGTTTTCCTTCCTCTTTCCATATCTTTTACTTTCTCTGTGGGTGGGTTGCGTCTCCCTCTCTCTCTCTCTTTGCTTGTCGGTCATCAAGCGCATAAAACATGTTTTGCCATTTTCATTCCCCCCCCCAGCTCCTCCACTTGTTGTATTTACTCGTCACTCTTTTTTTTCTTTATTTTTCTGTCTCTCTACCCTTCCGCACGCAAAGAAACACGTTCCCTCCCGCCTCCGGCGGCACAATTTGTTTCTCCTCCCTGCGCAACCGCGGTTTGCCGCACCGCCCGGCGGCGTCGCTCACAGGCGCTGGCGTCCAATGTGCTGTGTCTTGTAGTCTAAGAAGGCGGAGAGGTTCTCGGCGACCTCGCGCCAGTGCGCTGCGTCCTCGACGTCGGGGAGGGTGACGCGGTAGTTCCGCTGCGCCTCCCGCACCACCTGCTGGCGCCGCCTCAGGTACGCCTGAAAGAGGCCAAGGAACGACTTCAGGGCCGCGTGCACGCGGAGAGGGACGTACACGGCGTCGTCGTGCGTCTCGTCAAGGAAGAGGTCCATGAGGTGGTTGGAGGCCTCGCAGCGCACGCGCCACAGCGCGTCGGTGGCGGTGACGCTCGCCACCCACCGTCGCCCCGCCGCGCCGTTCTCGTCCTTCGCGGCTGCTGCCGGCGGCGCGCAAGCGGCCGCCGAGGCGCTCTGAAGTGCCTCATCTACCTGCATGACGCCGAGTGCAAAGCGTGCCGCCGCACCGGTGGACTCGGCGCTCTTGAAGGAGGCGCACATGGCACACACCACCCCCACGCAGGCCTGCTTCTGCAGCGGCGTGGCGTGGGGGTCCCACGCCAGTCGCGTCACGACGTCCATGTCGGACGCGGCGGCGGCGAGCAAGTTTGTGACCTGCAGCGGGCCACCCGCGGCTGCCGCCTGCTTTCGCTGCAGCGTCCACAACATCTGCACGAGCGACTCAAGCTGCAGTCGCAGCAAATTCATGGCCGCCGGCGTCACCCCCATCACGGTAGTCGCTCCGTTGGCGTCTCCTGCCGCTGCTGCTGCCGCCTCCGCAAGGAGCTGCGAGCGCAGGCCGAGGGCGTGCATGATGGCGCGCCAGATGTGGGCCGGCTCCTCGCCGAGGCCCGACCAGGGGACCATCATCAACAGCGTGTTGGCCAGGCTCCACACCCCCACCTCGTTGGAGAGCACCAGCAGCTGAAGTTTGGTGATGAGGCCGCCGGTGCCAGAGGTGCCAGCGGCGGCGCGTAGTGCCCGCTCCACCACGACGTCGTCCTCACAGTTCACAGGGCCGGAGGCGGCGACGTGCGCGGCGTCGCTGTTAGCGTTTATGTTACTGTTATTACTGTTAACGTCTGTGGGCAGTCGCAGGGCGTCCCTCATCAGCTTGCCCACGACGTACATCGCGTTTGTGCTGTACAGCAGGCCTGCCTGCGGGTTTTGCTGGAACGCCGTCTCATCATCGGCGTCGGCCTCGTTGAGGCCGCAGATGGTGTCCACGGTGGTATGCAGCACGTTTACCGCCGCCTGATCACACCGCAGCCGCCACAAGGCACGCTGCACGAGAACGGCACGGTGCTCCTCCCGCAAGGTACACTCCTGCAGCAGCAGCGGCACCGTGCGGCGCCACTCATTGTGGGGCGGGTGGGCATCTAACACCGCCACCACCAGCGGCAGCACTCGGGCGGCGTTCGCCGTGCTGGGGACGGCGTTCATAAGTGTCCCCTGCACCCGCAGCGAGACCTCGCAGAGCTGATAGAGGATGTTCTGTCGGCCGGCGGACAGCAGCGCGTCATCTTCCCCTGCTTCTTCTTCCTCTGCCGCAGCCGCCGAAGAAGAAGAAGGAGGAGGAGACGACGACGACGGCGCAAGTGCCGCCTCCTCCCGCAGCCACGCCATGATCGCGGTCGCGTCAAGGGAGTCTGTGAGGAACGCCTGATGCGACGCCATCATCTCAGGCGATTGCAGCAGCGCGGCCAGCGCCGCGTTCTCGTCACTCAACACGTGCAGCACCTCACTCCCCGCCACCGCCACGGCCGCCAAGAGCTCCGCCTCACGTCGCTTGTACTGCCGCAGCCACAGCACGCCAGTCTCCACGGTGGCTTGGTAGAGCTGTGCGGGGTGCCGCAGCGTCTCCCAGACGACGCCGGTTGTCGCCCCCAGCAGGGAGAGTAGCGTGTGCAGAACATGCGGGGCGGAGAAGGCCTCCGCCACCTGCTCACACCCCTCCACGCAGACCGCGATCAGCTGCAGCACCTCTTCCAGGGCGCGGGCGGCGATCACGAACGGCGCGTGGCGAAGACCCCCACGCGTGTTACACCCCTCCACCCCGTCGCCCTCGGCAGGGGCGGCGGCGGCGTCGTCGTCGTCGTCGTCGTCTTGCGCAACCGCGGGCGGGGCCAGCGGCGCATCCCGGCGTGCCTTCTGCACCGCGTCCCACGTGGTCGTAAGGAGCGCGACCAGGCCGTCGCGGAAAGCGACACGTCCTCCCTCGCCCGGCTGTTGCTGTGCCCCACAAACGGGAAAGGTAGAGGCCGCCAGCGCGTCCACCACGGCGTCCTCGAGGCCGTTTACCACGAAGTTTCGCAGGGCCTCCGCGGCGGCCGTCCGCAGGTAAAGCGCCCCGCAATGAGACTGCCGCGGTGGTGGGGCCTGGACGTCGGTTCCATGTGGCTGGCCGGCCGACGCGGGTGCGGCCGCGGCGAAGAGAACCTCAGCGAGCCGCTGCGGCACGCCGTGGGCCGACAGGTTTGCGTGCTGCGAGGGCTGCAGCGCGAAGGCTGCCACATCCGCGCAACCCTCCTCCACCACGTTCCAGTCCGGTGAAGTTAGCTTCGCCACACACGGGGGAGCCGGCGGCGGCGGCGGCGCCACGGCCGGGGACGCATGACTGGCGGCGGCGCCGCTGTCGTCAGCGGCATGCCGCGTGCTGGGTTTTGCCCCGCGCGACTTGGGCTTATGCCCCTTCCTTGCGTGGCTGCCCATGTCACTTCGCCTCACGCCGTTTGCCTCGTGCGCGCGCCCTCTCCCTCTCCCTCTCTCTTTCTCTCTCTCACACACACGCTCCCGTTGCGTTCCTTCCTTGTGCTGTGGTGCGGTGCAGAGGGGGGCGGAGGTGAAGAGCGAGAAAAACAAAAAATAAAGGAAGTAAGAGGCATCAAGTGGCAGGAGGCCCACCGTTCCTGTGAATCCCGCGCGTTGGCGCCCGCGCTCGCAGCGAGTCGTGCACGCAAAAAAAAAAAAGAGAAGAACACCTGGAGGGGGAATCAGGGGAGGGCCTCCCCCGCGCTGCCGTACGACGCGGCCCTCGTGCCCAAGTCCCGCAGCTTCTTTAATTTTTTTTAAAAAAAATTCTTTTGCCTCACTGTGCTTCCACCGCCGCTCCCTTCACACGCCTGTGCGCGTGCATACATGCAAATACGCATATATATATATAAACATGTCGGCCAATAGTCCTGTGGGTTGCGGCTGCTACCGCGTGAGGCGGCCGAAGCACGACTTCACCGCATCTCTCGCGAAGGGAATGTACGACAGCACGTACCACACCATCGCCCCGATCTGCACCAGGCAGCACACCAGCACCAGCAGGGCGTTGTGCAGCGCGAGGGCGCAGACAAGCGTGAGGACGATGAAGACGAGGTACACCGTCGTCGCGATCCACCGCTTCTCGTCAAACATGCGCCGCAGCTGCGCCATGGGGCCGGCGAGGAACAGCAGCCCCGCAATCGCGACGACGTTGCCGAAGGAGAAGAGAACACTAAAGAGGACGAGGTCCAGCTGAAGAATGGCAATGAAGCTGAGCAGCGAGAAGAGCATGCCGAGGCCGACGCAGCAGCCGCAGCCAATCAGCCGGTGCTTCCAGGAGAGCGAGGGGCAGAGGGACTCCGAGTCCCGCGCCTCAATGACGCCCGCCTCCCCCAACGCGGAGCCCACCCCGCTGTTGGACACAACACTCACAACGCTCGTCAGCTTGTCCATGTGGCTACCCACCCCAATTCCCTCCGGTTTTGTTCCTTGCTACTTCCTCTGCCCCCTTCCTTCGTCGGTGTGAGCTACCTGCCTCTTTAGCACACGCGCAACGGAAACCCGTGTGCCTTCCCTGCGCTCAACAGAAAAAGTCTCCCTCCTTGCGAGACACAGACGCGGGAAAAGTGAGTGAGTGAGCGAGTGGGTGAGGGAAGGCAGCCGCATCCAGCAGGCGGCCGCACACGCAGTGATGAACATGCATACACGTACACAGGAACAGTGGGCGTGTGCGCCTCCCCTGCCGCCGCCACTCCGTCCACGCCCCATGCAGGCCAGTCTCACGCCACTTCAATGTCTTACTCGACTCTCTCTTCCCTTCCCGCCTTCTGTGTTATTACTTATCGGTTATGCCCCACCGTGTCGTGGGGCTCGCCTTCGGGTGGCTGCACAAACCCTCATACTTGTGTGCGCCCCCACCTTCACTCTTTTTTTTTTCTTTCGTCCTCCTTCCATCCTTTTTTTCCGGCCCTTCCCTCTCGCCCTCTGCTCTCTTTTTTTCTCTCTTTCTCGAGCATGCGCGCGCTCGCGTTAATTTCCGCGAACCGTGTACTTCATGAAGTAGTCCATAAATGACACCTCCGCAAAGGAGGAGTCGCGGTGGTCGTACAAGTACCGGCGTGTCTCGTAAAAGAGGGAGGGTTCCAGCGGCACCTCCAGCACCGCCACCGCGGCCTCCTGCTGCTGCTGCGCCTTCCGCCTGCTACCGCCGTGCGGCCACTTGTTCATCGCCGCGTACTGCGCCATAATGTCCTCCGCCTGCTGCTTGTAGCTCCGGCACGGCACACGGTGGGCGGCGGCCCAGTGGGCCCGCTGGCACGCCGCATCGCAGTAGTAGACCGCCTTGCAACTGCCACAGCGCAGCAGGGCACCGCCGTCGCCGCCGCCGTCGCTGGCGGCAGCGGCGCGTTTTTCGCAGTGGGCACACTGCCGATGACTGCTGCGGGTGACAAGCGGGATGAGGTGCAGCATCGTCGTGGAGGCGTCAAGAAACATCAAGTCGTGTGCCTGATCCACGCTGGCGGCGGACCACACAACGGACGCCCCCGCCGCCCCGTCCTCGCGCCGAACTTCCGGGAGGGCCGCCAGGAGGTCCTTCAGCGCAATGCGCACGTCCTCGTCCGTCTCGCGGACACCCGCTGCGTCGTCGCCGTCGTCGCCGGTAATTGTGGTGGTGGTGGCGTTGCTGTCGCCCGCACCCCGCTGCCGCGCGGCACGTCGAACGGCCACCGGGGCCGCCGCCGCCGCCGCAGCGGAGGAGGAGGAGGGCGGTGCAGCGGCGCCTCCCTCGGCTGGCTCAGCCCCAATGAGCTCCTGCACGGCCGGGACGAACCACGGCAGCCGTGCGAGGAACTCGAGGTTGGCGCGCGCGTAGCGGTTGACCTTCTCCACCACCTCCTGCTGCGGGGAAAGCGCAGAGGTGGCGCCGAGGGCCGCCTTGGCGTGGCCGCCGGGGCGCAGCGGCGTGAGGCTCTCGAGGCGGCACAACTCCCCCAGCAGCGCGACCGTCTCCCAGCGACACTCCCGCACCACCGCACTGTTGCGCTGGGCGAGGAAAAAGGCGATGCCCCGCAGCACCGCCTCGCGACGCCGGGTGTTTGCCTCCGCCACTAAAGCGGCCTCCGCCTCGCCGCCGGCGGCGGCCGGGTGCACGGGCGTGCGCTCAAAGAAAAACAGCTTCACACTCGGGTGGAAGGCGACGGTGCTGAGGGCGACCAGGTAGTACGCCCGCTCCTCCATCGCCACGTCCTGCCGCGTCAGGCGGTCGTAGATGTGGTCGAGCGTCACCGGATCGGGCCGGGGCGGCGGCGGCGGCGGAGCCGCGGCGCTTCTCTTCTGCGACGGCATCGGAGGGCTCTCACTCCGCGCGCTGTCTGGAGTCACTCCGCCCACGACGTTCTCCCCCTCCTCCTCCGCCCTTTCCTGTGGCTAGTCGCTGGCATCACAGGGAGAGAGAAGGAGAGAATGAGAGGGAGGAGGAGAAAGAGAAGAGGAACTGCATCGCACGCCACCGCCGCCCTCTCACGTACCAGAGGCATATCCCCTTCTGCCCACACATACATTACAAATATATCTCGCCCTCTCCAGCCGCAGAGAGTAAAAAGAGAGAAACACACGGTGACGTGGTCTTCCACCGCACCGGCGCGACATGTCTCCCCTCCCTCCCTCCCTTTGCCGCGTGACTCCCTCTCTCTCCGCTTACGCGGCCACAAAATCACGCAGCTGCCGCAGCCAGCGCTCGTACTCCATCTGTTCCACCCACACCGAGTACTGGCCAACGAACTCCCCAAACTGGTCGTCGATGCAGCGCTCCGCGAGCCACGCCTGTATCCCGTCGAGCACCTCCTCCTCCACCTCGTCCAGGTTCGGCCCGGGGTAGCCGCCAAAGAGGTTGTTGTACTGCACCTCGGCCTCTGTCAGGGCAGGCGGCGAGGCGGTGCTGCCCGCGTTATGGGGCTCCGCTTTCTGGCTGTGGGGGCGTGCGGGAGAGCTGGCCATCGCGGCGGGCGCGTGTGTGCCGTGAAAGACAACGTGGTCGACAACCAACTCCCCCTCCACAAAGTCGGCCCGCACCTCGATGCTCTGCTCGTACAGACCGCGCTCCTCCGCCACTCCCCCGGCGCCGCCCACGCCGCGTTGCACAAAGAGGGAGAAGGGGAAGTGCTCGCCCCGCACGTCGCACTCGGGGTCAAGCGAGGGATCCCGCGTGGTGAGCTGCACGCGGATCGTGTGCCGCTCCATCCCACGCGGCCCCGCCGGGGCGACAGGCGTCGGCGGCAGCCACCAACGCCGGCCGTAGAAGACGCTGGTCCCCGGCGCGTGGTACATCTCCCATCCGGACGGCGGCGGCGGTGCCCCCTCCTCCTTGTCCAGCCGCAGCGCCTCGTCCTGCATCTCCTTCTCGATGCACTTGAGAAAACTCCGCTCGGGGAAGTCGGACGGCGGCAGCGCGCTACGCGGCAGCGACACTCCACCGGAAACACCCCCCGCATCGTCGCCGCCGCCGCCGCCGCCGCCGTCGTTGTCGTTTAGACCACCGTCAGTCATGAAACGGCGTGCGTGTTGCTGCAGCCGCGGCCACGATGACGCCAGCGCCGCCGATCGCAGAAGACGCACGGGGGTGGCGGAAGTGGCAACCCGCCTGTGGCGCACAACCCGCATGCAGGGCCGCATTGCACGACAAGTACGCCCCCCCCCTCGCTACCTCTCTCTTGCTACCTCACGCACTGTCTAGTCTCTGTGACGATGCCAAGTTACCCCTGTAGAATGCGTACAGGGAAATGCTCAACTCCCCCCGCTTACTGTATATATATATATAAATATATACACACGAATGCTAGCGGTAATGCGCTTCCAAGGTACCCCACACTCTCATTTCATGAGTGCAGCCGCAGGGAGGGGTGGGGTGGGGACACATGAGAAAAATAGCAAAGAAAAAAAAGAAGAAGAAGAAAACAATGACATATATGCATCCATCTATAGACAATCACGTAAAGTAGACAGTAGCTATACGCATATATATATGTGCACACACACACACATATCTATATATATATATATATATTTCTACTTCATGAAGATAGGTAAATAGCCGCGCAAAGTCAATAGTCATAAGTGTGCATTTTTGTGTGTGTCTGTCTGTCTGTCTGTGTACGCATTCGGAAGAGTTTCACGCAGCACATGCCGCAGGAGCCACTTCCCCCACAGACACAGCCACAAACATTTGTACTTGCATTACAGATGCGGGCAGCCCGTGAATTGTGCCCGCCTCTCTCCGTACGCACACAAGATGAGTGTGTCGCCGTGCGCAGGGACAGTGAATTACTGTGTGTGTGCGTGTGTAGGGCCCGTCCTCTCTCTCTCTCTCTTGCCACTTGGACCCCGCAGCACACGACAGAGCCCCACACCCCGCCCTGCCTCACTCCGCTCTCCCAGCCTCTTCCTCCTCCTGCGACAAACACGCACGTTGCAGCCAAGTACCGTACCCACGACTACAAAAAAAATATCAGGCCGCCTCCTCTTTTCCTTCCCGCTTCGCTCGATCTCTTCCTTTCGGCCTCTTTCGTTTCCACTACGCACCCCCCCTCTCCCTGGAAAAGGGAACCGCAGACACCCGCACACACGTTGCAGGTGCACGCGTTCCCTCCCCATTCCTTCCTTCTACTCAATAAAAAAAAAAACAACAACAACCACACACACAAAATATATAAATATTTCCCCACACCCCCTTTTCTGTTTCTTCTTTTTTTTTTTGTTGTTCTCTTTTTGTTCTTGGAGTGCTACTACTACTGCTATTTCCCTTCACAAGTCCTTCGTCGCTGCCGGTCCTCGCCTGGTTCCCGGCAAAGGCAAAAACACAAAAAACAAGCAATAACAAAGGGCTTAGTCCATCGCGAAGACGGCGCCGCGGTTCTTCCACTCCCATCCGTTGCGGTGCATGCGGAGCGCGTAGGTGCCGAGGGAGAAGGCCCAGCCGCCCACGCCCCAGAAGGCTAGCCGCAGGGCAAAGCGCCAGTGACAGATGCCGAAGAAGTTCTTCAGCGCAAAATGCCCCATGCCAAACCAAATGCCCGCGCCCTGCCGGTCCACATGGCGGAGCGGCGACTGCATCACGAAGGGCGCGTACGGGTCCTGCAGTTTCTTGTCGCGCCACCCGCGCCAGCCGGCGGGCCGCGCGCGGAAGTTTGGCTCGGTATGGGCGTGAAGCCGGAGCGTGCTGAAGCGCGTGTACGGCGCGGCACGATCAATGGCGGCAACAGGGGCGATGGCGTGGTGCCCGGCGGCGGCGGACGCCTCCTGACCACTGCGACGAAGCACGGTGGCAAGCATCCCGACACAACTTACTTGCTTTCTGCCTGCACCGGGGGTATAATATATATTATATTATACGTGTGTCTGCTGTGTGCGTGTGTGTTTGTTTGTTTGTTGTGGCGGCAACCGCAAAAAAAAAACACGCAAACAAGTACAAAAACGCACAGCAAGTGCTCTCAATGAGGACTCACCAAAGGTGCTGCTACGACTGCTACGACTACGAGTAGTACTTGGATAGTGACGGCTTATAGCGTACACGACTCTACTGCGAAGGCCAAAAAAAAAAACAAACAGCCAGCCAGCCAACCAACCAACCAACCAAACAAAAGAAGAAGAAGACAGAAGAAGGGAGTGCAAGGGCAGCGGAAGAGTCAAGCAAACAAACGCGCACACTTGGAAGGTGCCCAGAGTCACACATTCCTCCCCTTCAGAAGTCTCTTTCCCTTGGGTTCTCTCTCTATCTCTTTCTGCGTGCGTGTGTGTGTCTTTCTCTTTCTCTCCCTCTATTTGGCTCGCCGCGCCCGGCTATTGATGGAAGTACAGAGGGTTATTCAAACTCCACCACACCCAGGGGGGAGGGGGAAAAAAAAGAAACAAAGATTGCGTGTATGAGAAACCTCATCAACACCACCACAATCACCATCTGCGCACTCCACTCGCCGCCAGCGGAGGGGTGACGCAGGGCTTGCCGCGGCGGCGGAATTGGCCCCCGACAACATTGGACACTGACAAGAAAATAAAACGCGAAAGAGAGCAAGTAAGAGAAAGACGTACATGGAGCGAGAAAAAGAAAGAGAAAAAGCAAACACACACAGTACGTATTGCCTGCTACAAAACTCATTGCTCCGCCAACGTCCCTTTCCTCCAACGACGTCGCGTGCAGGACGCCGCATTGCAACTTCTACCGGGCACTTTGCCCACGCAACTTCCACCCCGCTGAAATTGGGGCGACGGCCACCGCCTTCGTCGTCGTTGTCGTCATCCTTGTCGATGCACTGTCCTCGTAGTTAAGTGTTCTCGCAGTGGGGAGATGCGGCAAACTGCGCCTGCCGCGGCGTTGCGCGCAAGGGCCGCCGCCGCCGCCGCCGCCGCCGCTGTTGCCGTCGGCCGTCCCGTGGATGGTGGCGTAGAGAGCCACGAGCATGTCGGAGGATAGCACGACGACGCCGTCGCCTCGGCCACCACCCCTGGCGTTTCGCGACGCAGCGAAGCGTTTCGAGTTCGATCTATCCCACACTCCGCGGTGGCGCCGCACGGGGGATGTGGCAGAGTAGGACCGGCGCGGTGTGCTGCGCGTGCGGCAGAAGTTCAAGACAGGCGCCTTTGCCCTCCGCCGGACTGACCGCCGCCTCGTGGATGTTGGGGAGTTCCTCCGCTGCGGTGGGAGGACGCTGGGGGAGGCGGCGTCGTCGTCCGACGCGGCTGCGTCGCCACGGCGCAGCCACGGCGTGGAGGACGCGGACGCCGCACCCGCGTCGTCAAGGAGCGCGCTCGGAGCTCGTATGGAGGGGGAGGCGCCGCTCCCGCAACTGCCGCTGCCTCGCAGCTTCGCCGCCTCCTCCTCGTCCTCGTCGTCGTCGTCGTCTACCCCGCTCCCTCGCCGACCGTGCGGCGGTGCCGTGTGCGCCCCCGCCGCGGCGCCCTCGCCGTGCACGGCGGTGGGGGACAGGCGGCGATGACGCGGGGGGGAGCGGAAGTTTTTGTCTGCGCCAGCGACGAGCTTCGGCCGCGCCCGGGCCGCCCCCGACCCACGGTGCGGTGAGGAGAACCCGCCCTCCGCCACCGCCACCACCACCTCCACCTCCTGCCCCGCCCCCGTGTTGCACGGCCCGTCTGGGGCGCCCGTGCGGCTCCCCGTTGCGCCCTCTAAAGACCTGGCCGGCTCCGTTGCGACCGCGTCTCCGGCGGTGCCAGCGTGCTGCAGGATGCCCCCGCCGGGCCGCGCCGGCATCGCCATGCCGCCGACCGTGGGATTTTTTCTAATGCCCTCTCGCCGCCGATCCCTCTCGCCGCCCTGGTGCGGGGCCTCTGCGTGAGATTCCAAGACCGCGCCGGTGCGCTTTGAGCGAACCTCCACCAAACGCTGCAGCTCCCGCCGCATTGCCAACCAAGTCTCCTGTGACAAATGCGGCACCTCCGCCGCCAAGCGTTCGTGCTCCTGCCGAATGCGTTGACGCTCCTTCGCTCGCGTCGAGGCCTCTCTACAAAGGGTACTATTCGTCCCACGAATCGGCAGGGGCGCTTTCCTCAGAACCGGCTTCTGCTGCGCGGCGCCGCCTTCGCCCACCGCGTCCCGCCCATCCTTTGCCCCTTTCTGCGTCTTCCTCTGTCGCTGGAGTTGGTCCTCCTCCCCAGGCGCTCTCAAGTGGAGTGAGGAGGTGCGCCTGCCGGCGCCGCCGCCACGACGATCAAACGCAGAAAACGGTACGGCTCCACCATGGACGGCGGCGCGCGCGCGAGCTAATGGCGGCGTCGGCGTCCTTCTTCTGCCTTCCTGGGCGGCACCACCACGGCCGCCAACGCGGCTGGGGGCAGAGTTGGTACGAGAGACCCGCGTCCGCGGCGCCGGAACAACGGCGGTGTGCAGCGAAGAGGAGGCCGCATCCCGCGTGGCTCCCGCGGGGCGGTCGCTGGTGTGCGTCCGCTGCAACCGCCTCGTGGGTTGCGGAAGGCAGGGCGCAGACGCCGTCCGCAGGGCCACGCGTGGCTTCCGTGTGGGCGTGGGTAGCGCCTTTGCCGTCGCAGAGCGTTCACACTGCTTGGTGGCGGGGGCAACGTGCGCCGAGGCGGAGGTGAGGCGAATGTACCACGGCCGCAGCGACGTCGCGTTCCCACGCGGTGCGGCGGTGGGGGTTCCATGCGACCTCGGCTTCAGTGACGGGGGCCGCCGCAGCAGGTCCATCGCCCCCGCGGCGTTCTCACAAGGAGTAGCGTTCTTCTTGCCGGCTGCCGTAGCTCGTGAACCCGGCTTGGCCAAAATTGCGGCCTTCTTTGACGCCGGAGAGAGTGCCATGGCAGCTCCCGTCGTGGGAGTTGCTTGACGAAGCAGCGCTGCGCTGAACTGTCGCTTCTCGGGCGGGGAATTCGCGACGGCTCGCAAGTGGTGATGCAGGGAGGCGGCGCGGCTGCATGTGAGCTGCCGCCGCAGCGGCTCACGCCCCGCAGCGTCGCGCTTGCCGGGGCTCGACCCCAGCGTCGTTGCACTCTTGCGAAAGCCGCACGGAGGCACCTGCGGGCGGCGCCGCTTCGTTGCACTGCCGTGGGCTGCGTTGTCGTGCTCGGTTCCCGCCTTCGCCGGGGCGGCGGGCGGCGCTCGCGCTGACGGGCTCAACGTTTGCCGCAGCGGAGTCATACGGCTCCGCGCCCCGGGCCTCTCCGCGGCGCCGCCTGCATGCGAGGGCACGGCGCCAGACACCAGGCGCCGTGTGACGGTCCGCAGGAGGGGCCGCTGCTGCCGCTGTTGGGCCTTCGTGCGTTGTGCGGACTCCACACGCGCCGCACCGTGTGGCTCTGCGGCGGCGTGCGTCGAGGCCGTCGTCGGAGTTGGCGGGCGCGGCGGCGTCGCCCGCGCGGCGTTTTTGTCCGCCGCCGCCGCCGCCGCCATCGCCATCGCCATCGCCGGCGGTGTGAACGGGTGGCCCCGGCAGGGTCCCACGGCGCCGGGGTGCACGCAGCGGGGAGGGGAACCCGAAGAAACGACGCCGGCCGGGGGGCTCCCTCCTGCGCTCTCGCTCCTGCAGCACACGCACGCACAGAGACAGAGAGAGAGAGAGAGAGAAACAGAGGGAGAGAAACAGAGGGAGAGGGCGAAGTAGAAGGAGAGTGAAGGAAGTATTCCGTCCAGCGTAGGGAAAAACACAAACACAAACACGCAACGCCACTGACGTTTGAGCCGTGAAGAAGGCAAAAACCACCACCACCGCCACCGCCAACAAAAAAGGCGTGCAAGTGAACCACAACATCCAAAACAAACACCATGAACAGCGACCGAAAAAAAACACAGGCAGAAAAGTATATATATATAAAAGAACTACAAA